AACACCATGATAATCTGTTATAAGTTACCTATGTTCAACGAATTGCCATGGCCATACAGAAAGGAAATGTCGCCAGCATCATTGGTTCCACACCCACAGACGACGACCTTTCATCAATATTTTATTTGTAAAATTAATGTAAGAATTAAATTTTATCTGCGTAGAAAAAAAAATTCTGTTATAAGTGATACAATCAAATTTTATGTAAATGATAAATGACCTTAACCAATTATTAACCAATAATTGAATGGCTCCCCGGAAAAACGTTCCAAGCGCCAGAATTAGAGTTTGCAGGTTTTTGATAGAAAAACGTTCCTTGTGCTTTTGTCTATCAAGTGGTGACATCTTTTGGCCGATTTTATAGCTAAAACTTTGAATTATGGATAGGGGAATTTGGCACTCTCTGGAAGAACATTCCTTGTGCAGCGTATTGGGCAGACAAGACCATGTCTTCACCGGTGTCAGGCCTTATTAAACAAATAAATAGAGGCAACAAACTAAAGTTAAACATAGATTTTTGGAAGAAGAAAGTTAAGAAGAGTCATAGAAATAGCGGGAAAGAGTAAAAAAACTACAAAAATGAAGAAGTGCCTGAAAAAGTACCTATTTCTGAAGTAATTGGAAAAACGTTACTTGTGCTTACAATGCACACTACAGTTGAACACTATAACGTTTATGATCCAGAATATTTACCAGGACATAGGAATTTAATTTCCATTTCTGAATACTTATTATTAGTAAATTACAACCTAGCTGTTGTCAATTTACTGTTTACTGTCTTATGTTATTTTTGGTAAATGTGCTGATTTATTTAAGGATTTCTCATGTTCCTGCACAAACAACGGCTGCAAGAATATATACCTTTTGTGACTGACTATACTGTACCAAGATAATACGTTTTTTACAAGATTTTGTGTGTTCTTTTAGTTAAATGAAGTGCAATATTGTAATATTAAAAGTCCCAAGCACACAAACAATATCAGCTTAATACAAAGGCTAGGGGTTATGTACGTTTCATTAACAAGATATTGTGTACCTCTTTTAGTAAAATAAAATTCAATATTGTAAAAAAAATCTTTCACTTGCAGTTTGAGAATTTCTGTACCTAAGCAATAAAAATAATGAATTATTGCAGCTATTAAAACTTTATTATTTACAAAACGTTCCAAACGCCAGTATTTTAGAGTGCTATGTTTCAGTAGAAAAACTTTGCTTGTGCATATGCAGTTGATATCAACTACGCCCAAGCAACAATTTTCCACTACATTTACACTTAAAATGTCAAAAGCTTAATAATTTGAATTTTTACTTGAAAAAATCCTTATAACATTGTTTTGACTAGACCTATCTAGTAGAATCTAAAAAATCTAAAAATAATCTTTAAAAATTACTCTCTTAACGGTTTTTTTAGTTTCTGCAAAGTTTACAAAACGGCGAATGGAACGTTTTTCGTTTTTTTTAGAGATCTCTATATATAAATGCAAAATTCCGATCAACGCATAGGCCAAACCATAGCACCTAGAAGCATTGAGATTTTGCATACAAATTCCTCTCATAGCTTAGGTAGACAATAAGAAGCGATTTTACAAAATTCCCCACAGAAGGTCAAAGTTATCATGGAGTTTATATGGGAAGAATAATTTGTTTTGGGGTTGTGTTTACATTTGTCTGCAGTTTATTTGATTATCAGCTGCTAGAATAAAAATTAAGTTTACTAAGGTTATTTCGGACCATATAAACATCATAGTTGTGTGTCAGTGAAATCAACCTAATTTAGCGGAGCAAAGAGAAGCTCTTTGGGATCAACTTCAATGCAACCTTTATAACACTTAATCTCAATAACGGCTGAACATGTTTAGCCAAACTTACCAAGGTTGCTTGGTCAAATGTCTGGATGGTTTAGCCATAACCAATTAAAATTTTTGATAATGCCTATATAGTTTTAAAGTAACTCAAAGTTTTTAAATTTTAACATTGGTCTTATGGGTTGCCATGATGGAAACAAAATAACAATGTAAATGTAAACAAAACAAAGAATCATAGCATATGTTCAAATCAAGCCACGACCTAAACACAGTACAAAGGAAAACAAATTCTGTCGTATAGGTACAGTCATAGATAAAACATATAACATATTCTTTCTTAGGTTCAGTATTTAACAGATTTGATTTACGTAGCTAAATAAGGTTACAACAAATAACAATTATCTAACTGCCACAAACGTTTACCACACTCCGCACTTCTTGCTATTAGGCTTACTACTTCCTACGTCGTGGACCTGTTTAAGTTTGCCATTTATGAGATGGATCCATGAATGTGATTCAACCTATGAATTGTTTAAGAAGATACATTAATCTAACTGCCACAGACGGTTCCCACCATCCGGACTGTTTGCCTTTACTACTTACTTCACTACTTCCTACGTCTTGGACCTGTTACACTCCCTTCCCATAACATTTTAGTATTGCAGATACATTTTTATAACTGCCATAAGCGGTTCACACACTCCGCACTGCCAGCCTTTACTACTTCCTTTGCAACCTCCTATGTTGTGGGCTTGTTTCCCACTTTTTTTTTTTTTTTTTTTTTTGTGGGGGCTGGGGTAATGGCATACCCCTAGCTACTTCGGCCTGGAGACCTTTTGTAGCACCCTTTAATTCATTCTGACAGCCCTAGGCTCCTCAAGTAGCCCAGGAGCTGAAAGACACCCAGCTTCCTTATCTCTGTTGGTTCCAGGAATAACCTCCCCAGAGATGTAAGCCTTCTATGGGCCAACGCTGGACAGTCCAGCCATAAGTGTTCTGAGGTTTCTACCTCGTTCTCACAGAACCTGCAGAGGTCTGTCTGTGACCTCCCTATGGTCCTGAGATGTTTCCTGATAGGACCGTGCCCTGTTAACACTCCTACTAGTAGACTAATGTCCCCTTTCTTAAGGCTCAGCAAGTCTTTCCAGCCTTTATCAGTGGGGTCGATTAGTAATTTGGACGTCCTCATACCTGGGTGGTTCATCCAGGCCAGAGCCTTTTGAACCTTGACCCAGTCTTGGACTTTGGCTACTCCTGAGCTTATGGGGGTACCACAGTAGGGTTCTGGTCCTGACAGTTGGTCTTCCGCACCCTTCCTGGCCAATGCATCGGCTTTTTCGTTCCCCTCATGCATGTTTCCCACTTACAATAGCATTTTAGTATTTTAGATGGCACATCAAAATGATGCTCAGGGTGTGTAGATTTTCTGAAAAATATTGATGTTAACGAATTCTCTTAGGGCTCTGCCCCATAGGCCAATTTTCAAAGGGCTACGCCTTACATGTTTTAGAAGTTTAAGTTATTCGATTAAATTAGTAAACAATAGCTGGTCAATGCAATTGACAATAGTTAGTTAATTTTTGTTTACTTATTTTATTATTTACTTTCGTTCTTAAAAGAGGTGCGGTAAATTAACATTAAAGCGATTTCTAGCCGTTTGATAAAAGTGGGTGCTTTAATGTATTTGTTGGCCCTATTATTTTACTGTATATGGACAGATCCACCATTTCGCAGGTAATCCTATGCGACAGGCCTTTAAACTCCTGGAGAAAAAAATGAGGAAAACTAAAGTTATATCAGACGATTTTGCAGGAATTGGGAGAAATTTTGACAGAAATAAATCCATATGCGAGATTGTATAAGTATCTACACTAAAGTTATGTCAGAGGAAAGTGTTGCTGCACAAAGGGAGAACCGACCAGTTAGAAAGTATGTTTTAGCATTTCATTAATTTAATATAAACATTAACCCTTAACACTACATCCCTATGGCGGAGCCCTTAGGAAATCGGCCTGTTTGTTAATATCAATAATTTTTGGTAAATCTACACACTCTAAGCTTAATTTTTATGTACCATATTCCTATATTTTTAATTGGATGATAAAAAAATTTGCTGTTTCACTTTAATAATACAATGGACAATAACATAATATACTTTCTGTTGATAAAAAAAATAGATTTTTTTAGAGAAACTTAGCTGTTCTGAATAATATTGATTTTTAATCGAGTACTTGATTCCCGTACATAGGATGGGCCAACAGTTAGTTAATTGTTAAGTATCTTTATTTTATACCTTTTCCAATTGAGATGTAAATGTCACCTAGGAGCATATTTATATCCACATACAAGTGAAGGACGAGAATGGATTGAGATGATCTGCGTAGCTTTGTTACTGACTAAGATAAATTTCACTGGCCAGGATCAATAATTTAAATCCCAATAATAAGGAATAGCAAGATCTTGATTCAATCCATCAAAAAGCTACTGACTTTTCTCAGGATCGATCCGGCAACCTTTTGATTGTTAGGCGAGCATCATAACCACTCAGCTAGCCAACTAGTAGATAAAAGAAATGTTGCCTGTTGGCGTCTTTACTACTAGCAGGGTTAACCATTGTCGGTGGTAGTCTTAGAGATGTCCCCTATCAGTTCAGCAATCTCTTGTTCAATCACACGACAATACACATGTTTCATTTCCCTTTGCTCACGACCTTAACCAAAACAGATGAAAAATCTCGTCCGGCTTATACTGAGCCACACATTGTTAACACATTGTGCAAATGATTACGACCATTTTTGAAACTCTTAACCATATTTTCCACTACCAAATTACATTTTCATCTGTTGGATGGGGGTTGGACTATTTAATATGGGTTCTGTCCTTAGTCCCTTAATACTGTCCAAAGTCCTGCGTTAAATTTCTGCCAATCACCAATGGATTTGATCTAAGTAACAATGCCACAACCTTCTTTAGACCTAAGATGTGGAAAAACATTTTGGGCTAGAACATAGAAATAAAAAGAAAAAGTCTTAAATACTTGAAAAAGACATCACACTGCTTAGTTGTGGGAACTGACTAGAACAGTAGTAAATGAAGTAATGAAAATTTACAGTGGGCCAAGTCTGGAGCTCGCTGGAGACCCTTGTGTTATAGTATAAGATACTCTTAGTTAAATTTATAAGATTTTCAACCAACCTGATCTACTGGTATCCGGTTCTGTCTTGATCTGCCGAAGAGGTGTGGGGAACACTGGCGCTTCACAGCTGGCGGTGGGAGAACCAGGAACTACAGAAGCAGGAGTCGCTAGCTTCTCTGTAACAATCAGTGACGTGTGGAGAACTCCAACGTGTGATACAAGAAATTAGATTTAAATGTTAAGTTACATTTCACCAAATTTGATAACCTTAATATTTTTCTTTTGAAACCAAAATTTTGATCAATTCTTAAGTTATTAAGCTAATAAATATTTAATTTAATGAGTCGTCAAATACATTAAACACTTACACAAAAACAAAAACTTGTATAGAAACAAAAATTTGCCCAAATTGTAATAATACTGATACGATCCTGTGGTGCAGTCATGACTCATCATCTGCCAGCTACATCATGTATGAGTATTATTACAATTTGGCAAAATTTTTGTGTTCTGTAAGTGTATTGTATTTGACGACTCTTTACAACTCTTACAACGATGAAGAGGATTTTTCCAACCACTTGGTATTTTAGCTTGAAAATCGACCTTTAGGTTTAAGGTATTTAAGAGCTCTTTCTCTACTTGACACTTGAAACAGTTACCTGCCAACAGTGGATTGGCTGCGGCGATGTTGAGTTTACTGACTCTCTGAGAGTTCTTATGGATCTCTTGAAGAAGAGCGACAGTGGCAGGATTCTTGGCTGCAACACTGTTGTTGTTCTCCTCCTGAAAACACACTTGGAGTCAGATATCAAAGCAGGGCGTGATGGGAAATGGTGATGATGAAAACAAAGAAGGTGTTGAGGAGTGGATGAAGATCACTATAAAGGTGAAAATGGAAAGGATGAAGGTGAAGATGTAGCGGAAGAAGGTGATAATGAAGATTATAATGGAGAATATTATGGAGAAATTTATGAAAAATAAAATGAAAATGTAGTTAGCTCAGGAAAATATAGAAGAAAACTGTGCAGAATGGAGTTTACATTTTATATGACAATGGAGGCTGCGATTGGTGAAGACTAGTTATTTGTGCAACTAGTGAGCAAAGGGAGCAATTGACTCACTCGAGAGAAATACTTACTTGAGGAATGGTTTCTCGAGTGAGGCAATTGCACTTTGCACTCGAGTTGCACATTATATTTTTCCTACAGTTACCTTAAAACAAATAAATTGGTAAAGAAACGTGACATATTTTTACACAGAAGTGAACTTTTAATATTACATTAATGATACAACAGTACAACAGCTGACCAGCTGATTTACAGCCAGTGCTGCCAACGTATTTCGCGCGCATACGACCTTGTCTGCATGTTACTCGCTCACTATTTCGTGCCTTCACGTTGCAAATCTGGAGTGAGTGAGACAAAGTAATTAGAGTGAGACAATGTTAACATTGTCTCACTGATGAGCGAATTGGCCACTTTGCTTTCTCAAATCAGTGAGAGAACATGTACATTGTTAGGTAACTGAAGGAAAAATTATGTTTGGATGGAAATGAAAATGAAAAAAGAACTTAGGTGGTAACAGAGTGTGTGAAGGTAGAGAAAGTACTTTTAAACAGTGAAGGTTATCAAAGAATGTAATGAACGCATATGCTGGTGACACTACAATTGAAAATGTGTAAGAACATTTTGTGGCAATGTGATTGGCAGAGGAAACTACAATTTAGGAACCCACTGTAAAAATAAAGTAATTTCAATGGCAATGGGTTTGACACTGTCACTATCAATGGGCGTCCATCCATATGGGTTGGGGGGGGGGGGGGCTCAGCCACCACAAAGAGATCACAATGAGTCAACCACTTTTTTTCAGACTGTTCATTGAAAAAATAAAAGCGATGAGTTGACGCTTTGTTTTGGGAAGGTCAAGTACCACTTGGGGTACCATAGTGGCTACAGAAGTTTTAAAATTCCAAGATTTCAAAAAACAATAAAAGTGGCAGGGCACATTAAATCAACAGTTGTTGTACCTAAATTTTTAACATTTTTACTTTTAATTGGGGGTTATTTTGTACACTTCAGACCCCTCAGCCCCACTTATGGAAAATTTAAGTGGACACCAATGCTGTCAAACTCTATTGCCGTTTGAAATTTTATTCAGTTCAAAGTTAATAATAATGGAGATATTGATTTTGGTGACAATGATGCTGTGACAGTTTAGGTAACTGAGTTGATAGAGGGTTGATAGGGTTGATAGAGAATGTATTTTAACATTTCCACCTATAGCAGTGTAGAATTTATAGCATCAACAGGAGGTGTGATTAATAGGTTAATATGGTTAGTGTTAAAAACCAATTGACAGATTTATGAATACACCTATTTGTTTTGGTTTTAAAGTTGTAATTCAGTTATTCATATGTAGAATTTTAAAAACCTACATAAAGTAGGCCAACCGTTTTAAGATATATTTATTTATTCAAAACTCTGAATATTTGTAATTATCTGCTCGCCCGCATCTTATTGTGGAAAAGTTGTTCGATGTCTGCAGTACAGCCATGATAGATACTGAAAATCATGTAGAAATATCTTACAGCTTTCAATTTATGTCAAACAGGTATAAAGCCTCCTGCTGTTTTGATTAAAATCACAAAAACTAATAGAAAACTATTTTTTTCTTACAAATTTCACGTTTTTTTATTGAACATAAAATAAACTTGAGTGTTTAAGAAGAATAAATGGTTACGATATATACTGTATTCTATCTATAGTCTGATCTGTTCTCAATATTGTCACACTTGCGCTTTTACAGAAAATAAAAAAATGGTACATTGATTAAAAAGGTGGTCATTTAGAAGTCAGTCTGATATTGGTATCTCTTCGAAAAACACACTTTCAAAGAGACAAAACAACCTAGTTGTCGTTGCTGTGTAGAGCAACAATGGATTATTTCAGTGCTTTTTATCGTCTCCAATATTATGTTTAAGGCTAAGATATGATCATTTAGTGAGAAATAGATTAGCTCCTTTTCATTAATTATAATCGTAAAATGTTAGTGGATAAAATAGCTGAAGCCACTAAATATGTTAAGTAAGAGGCATACTTTGGTTATTAAATGCAACAAAACAAAGCAGGATAAATTCTGCCGATTTTAATCCACTCCAAAAAGCCCATAGTTGAAACTAATCTAAAAGTAATTTAAAATGAATCAGGAACTTTTGTGAAACTTAACGATTTGGTGAACAGTATCATTCTCAAAATTGGTGAACATTTGCTTTGGTGAGAGATCTTTTAAGGGAATGTTTTGTCTTTGAACTTTCTATATGGGGAGCAATCCAAATGAGAACCAAAGAATAAACGAAAAAATGGCAAAACCCTCACACAAAGTCCAATTATCCTGTCAACTTCTACACAAGCTATCCATAATTTATTTTAGGTGACCTCTCCCAACGTTTCCTGGCCGGAAGAACAATACCTCTGGCCAGGCTGCAATGCCCAAGTGCAATAGTTCTCAACTTGACTCCCATGTCACTGAGCATGTCAAGTAGAGCTTTCAGTAATTTTTTTTTTTTTTAGTTTCACTTCCATAGGTGGTTGTAAGTAGAAGTTTGGTTATGTTACACTCTTGAGTCTGATATATTAGTCTTTGGAGCTCAAAGAGTTAACAATCCACCAGAGTCTGCGGATTAACGAAATTTTTAGGTTGAGGTGGGCAAACAGTTGGGTCTAAGAGATTGGTTTGAACCAAGAAAAATTTTCAAGCTAAGCTCGAATCAGGTAATATATATTATAAGAGTGTGCAAACGGCTAGATTTTTAAGCCGAGCATTTATTCTCAAGATCGCAGAAAGATTGTGCCATTGTAAATTTTTTGTAAAAGTTTTTGCCATGACCATAGGGGATGCTTGCAAGAACGACACAACCACAGCAGCTGTTCTCGATTCCTCTGCAACCTCGGGAGAAGTTTACAATCTCACCGCGATCGCCTACAGTTTATTGTAAACCGATTGTTGATTGTATCAATAATTATTTTATCGAATCAAAAGCAATCTGATTTTGCCCGTTCCAACTCAGACCCTAGACCCGAAGGTCAACATTAAAAACCCATAATTAGGGTGGTCCCGATAGGAGAGCATTTAGTCCCTCCTAGAAAATAAATTAGTAGAGTAAGGGCTAAAAACGAGGTTTTAATGTTCTAATGTTGTACACGAAAACCGTTGTGATCTCTCATATTTTCCCCCCGAAATATGTCTACATGAGAGCAGTATTTTCCTCTGCTCAGGAGGGGCTTGCCCCTATCTGGTGGCACCAATAAAACCAATGGAAAATGAGTTTAATTTGTCCAATCAATTTCAAAATTGGCTTCCCGGTCAACAATACAGGCTTCAACTAATATCTCACCAAATCCAAAATCAATTACAATTCCAACATCTAAAATTTGTTCTGTATAAATTTATTTTTGCAACTGTAATTAGTGTTCACAAAAGTTTCTGCCACCAGAATCGTAAGTTGTAACACACTCACTAGCAACAGCTGGTGATTGTTGTATTTGGGGAGGGCAGATCTCGTAAGCAGTGACTTACATGTCTCATGTAAAGATAAGAACTGCAACAACGTAACAACTCACCACAGACAACAGCAAATATTTACAACGGATTATGTACACAGAGGTAAAGACGTGAATGTTTGTCAAAAGGTAAGGGTGTGTTCAATCTGGTGTGACGATTATTCTAGTATTAGGCGCAACTTATCTGAAATTTTGTTGTACAGTAGTTTGTTCTGAATTACAGTTTTGCTTCAGTGAAACTTTCGTGATATCGAGCTGTGCAATTGTTTTTCGGTGAAAAATTATCAAAATCGAGGTATCAACATTCAACAGGTGTGTGCTCTCACAGTCGTCCAATGACCAACAGCCACCCAATAGTTTTTGAGTATGGACTCAGTTTTAATTTAATGTAAATTTAGCAAGAGAGCAAGGATGGGAAGAATTCCTCCGCGAGGAAGGGAGGAGGGGGTAAAATTATCTCTTGAGCCAATTGGGTGTCACATGCAAACCGCGGGCCAGGGTGGTATTGTGAGCTTAATCAGCTGTTTATATTTTTCAAGACTCTGTGAAAAGACTGTCCAAAAAAAGGGTACAATAACTACACTAAGAAAAAAATGTTGTCCACAACTTCTCTCCCTCCTAAAGAGGACTTGCATCCTGGGAGGAGGTGTAGTTTTATAAGGATTACTTGTAAATGTAAAATGTAGGACACAATGATCTCAATTTCGATAACACAGGTTTAATTCCTCTTTAGTACTCATACTTAATAGCAGTCACACCAGGAGTTGAACAAACCTCCTACTTTGACATTGTGCTGCATATTGATTAATTGTATTCTAAAGGGATTCATCCATCACTTAGAGTAGATCAAACTAAAATGGTCTGACATTGATTTTAACATCTGTTCAAAACCCCTTTTTAATTCTATATTGTAAAGGAAAACCCTATATCGGAGGTTTAGAGTAGAGTTCAGCTAGCTTACCTGAGAAAAATTGAGTCCAGGATCAGAAAGATAGAAATACAAATAACATATAGAACTGATATTTTGTCCTAATGTAAGACTCCTTCAAAGAATAGTTGAGAAATGAGATTGATTCTCTTCAATCTACTCCCTGAAAAGTTCCATTCTAGGATAACACGCCAGTGCTGACACTTTTTACACCTGACATTTTTTAGTAGCTGTAAGCTCCTGGGCTCAGCTTCACAGGTAAGTGAAGCTGAAATGTATGAATATTAAGCTGACGATTTGGCAACATTGCATTACTTTTCATCTGACCATTTTAATGTGGTCTTTCTTGATATATTCTTTATTTATTGTATTGTTTCTGCGATGTCATAAGTACATGTAAAATGAAATCAATGCACAAACTAAGTTAATAACTATTGCTACATTACAACTATTTGGATCTACAGAAATAAAAGTGACAAAGAAGAAAAATACTACAAAACCTGTAATGATTGATTCTGATTGGAAATTATACTAACTTGTGGGATTATTTTTCCAAATGAGGTTAATAACTATGATAGTTACACAATCATGTAATTTAGCTGCATGTCATAAAAAATTGAGTTTGACTAATTGATGACTAATATAGCATTCACTTTAAACAATTAATTTTAATTGAGATCAATTAGCAATGCGGGAACATTAAGTGTATGAATTCATCTGTAAACTATGTGAAATGGGTACTAAATGATTGATTATCTAAATGATGAAATGAATATGGATACTGAATTGGAAATCATATTAAAAACAAATCAGTTGTTGAGTTTCAGAGTGTCATAGTTCAAAATGAATATAGAAAATATGTCTATAGACAAAATTATAATTGAAAAGTTGATCTGTAGATAAAATGTTTTACAATATCACCTAATAGTGTTGTTTGAACCCAGTGACAAGACCTGTATTATACAATAATTTATTTACCTATTTTGCCTGAAGGTATTGTTTTTTGTAGGTTGAACTAGTAATCGATTCACATTTCGCCGCTCAGCGCGGCATCTCCATAGATTATGTTTTTACACTAAATGTACATATTTACACTATATTTCTGGAATATGTACACTTCTATATCCGAATGTGACCGGATAGTGAATGGAAGATATAGTGTAAGAAGTACTCTATGAAGATGCCGCACTGGAGCGGCGAAATGTGCATCGAGTACTAGTTCAACCTACAAACTACAAGACCTTCAGACAAAATAGGTAAATAAATTATTGTATAATCTAACAGTGTTTTAACCAAACACCTCTTATTTAAAATAGATCACAAAAAAGTGGTTACATAACGTTAATATGGCTATGGCATCTATTGTTATTGTGGTTTTTAAGGACCAATTATTAAAAAAAAAGTTACCTGGTTGTCGCCTTGTGGTCCAAGTTTTTCCCTCGATGGATTATGCGCATTTAGGCGCGAATGTCATCGTTAGATCCGTATAAGAAGATGAGTTCTTGTACGGATCTTATGATTGCATTTGTGGCAAAATGTGCATAATCCATTAAGGACAAAACTCGGAGCACAAGGCGACAAACAGGTAATTTAACTCTTTTATTCGGCTGTGAGATGTCTAATTTCCATCACAGATTGTTAAAAATGAGTGCCAAATTCAAAAAATTCTAGAGATCTTTTATCTTGAGGTTTTTTTTTTGTAGAAATCCACCAGCAAAAACGCCAAACATAATTTCTATTTCTAAAACAGTACCTTTTCCTCGTTGAAGTCAAAGAACTGCTCAAGTTCAAAGGATGGATCAGCGAGTTGATTAAAGATGTCTTCAGCTTCGTTGTCGAGTTGAGAATCTAGCTCGGAAAGAACATTGGACGATAACTCGCCGAGACTGTTGCTAGTTTCCTGTGCAAAACAATGTGATTCGTATATTGAAATTCAATGATTCAGAACATTGTGAATGTGTGTATCAATTCACACTTAACGAGTCATAAAATGAAATAAAAAGAAAGTTTTGGAATTCATAAAACTAAAGAGTCAAATAAAAAAAAACCTGTGATAAGAAAAGAATCACAGATGTAGGTTTAAAATTAAAAACTATAGATGACTACTTTACTAGCTGCACCTCAGAAGACTCCAACTGATTGCAAGCCAAATTATAGCCAAGTTTGAAACACAATTTTTTTTCCAGTATTTTATTAAAAGATTTTTTTTAAATTTAGTTAAATTATATTTAAGGAAATTAAAAAACGGTGAAGGGTAGTTTTCTACAGTTTTCTCATGAGTAGGTACATATTTGAAAAGCCACTCACAGATTATGTTAGAGTCTAAAAATCTAACTTCTCCTTTAGTTTTTTTCCACTAAGATGGTTGATGTGTCATGAAAGCTGCTACGTTAGGTCAACCAATACCACGTGTGCAAAAGGACTGTTTTATTTTTATTTTTGTAATTGTAAAATGTGTTCATGTTATGGGTTTCTACTGTGACGACGCTGCCTCAGAAGAAGATATCTGATGATGGCATGTTAATGCCGAAACGGGTGTAACGCAAGTTACAACTGATTGGACTGAGGACGAAAGAAAACCTATTTTAGCGAATTTCCCTATAGGGAAGTAGCTATTTTAGCGAATTTCCCTATAGGGAAGTAGCTATTACCGTAGGTGGCATGGTAAGACCTAGGCCCGGGACCGATTTACTTTTTCATTTTGATGTCCCCAGAGGCCAAAAACACCATTCGTTCAAATTTTTATATATGTATATATATATATATATATAGATTTATATATATATGTGTCCGTGAACACGATAACTTGAGTAATTTTTGTCCGATTTTGATGAAATTTGGTTTGAAGGTGTAAGGCGGGATAAACTTGAATGAGTTCGCGAACCAGCATGATCGGACCATGGGAACAGAGTTTTACGAGGGTTTTATGGGGTAAAAATTGGTTTTTCTAATTTTTTACCCTCTAAACACAAAATTTCCCAATTTCTCTCCAGACCTTTTTAAAGAGCTTAAAAAAAGAAATAATTCAGTATATCCAAGTGTTTTTGTACAATTATTGGTTACGGAGAAAATTCAAAAAAATGTTATTTTAAAATTCCCATGTTATTCTTATGGAGAATATTGTAAAATGTTGTAGTTTGCTTGTTTATGGATGTATTTTAATCAAACTTGGTAAATTTATTTATTTTATACAAAGTTATTCATATTTTACCAAAAATACACTTTTTTACCCTCCCTGTAGCACCAAGCCTAGGTACTCATAAAACCTAATGTTAATTAAATACATTCAATTGAAAATCAATTCAGGCAAATGGAAATTCGCTTAGTCGGCAGGTTTGCTGCGGCGGGGGTATTTAGTTATAGCTCAGGAGCTAAAACATAGATTTTAATTCCTCATTTTGTGTGTTTACAGTGACAAATTATCACACAGTCCACATTGAATACGATGGAATCTACATAATGTCTTTGTGGACTGGAAAAGGAAGACATCTTGACTTTCAAGACCAAGGTGGTTTGACTAAGAATTTGAAACACTCAACGGTAATTTAACCTTTATACTCTATAAATCTTAGTGATTCAGAGGCTAGGCCACAATAACACAAGTACATTTAGTGATTGGCTAGCACCATGTACCTGTATGTTACATACATTCGCAAGGCACTGAGAGAGGTCAGGTATCTTTCCGTCAGAGTCGTTGTCCCAGAGGAGGTCATCATCTATGAAGGGCATAACAGGAGCAGCGCTGGCAGGGGCCGGCGGGCCAGGCTTGAGGAAAGCCAGTGTGCTGTCTAGCCTTTCAACAAGGACCTGCAACAGCAAATTGTGTGTTGAGTGTTGAGTTGAACTCTGAAGAAATCTGAAAATTTGTCATAGTTCATAACTGGACTCTGCATAAAAACACAGGGTATTTGAATGACAGATGAATAAAGGACAGAAGGCTACATAATATCTACTCCATTCACCTTACAAATTATTTTTTGAATTACTAGAGTTCTATCTCTTGTTTTCAATAAAATAACCTCAGAGACCATGCCCATGATGTTATTCTAGATCAAGTATTAATAGCTGAAATGTTATTTACGCCACACTACATTATTTTGACGAACTTCCCACGCAAGGATTTAGTCCAGAAAACAGCTGTTTGCCGCCAGCTTATTCAAATGGGGTTTCATTGCGTGATACTGTTCTGCAATGAGTTTTACCGGACACCAATCAGCTGATTATACTGTATTTGCGTGGCAATGATTTGGTTATAAACAAAAACATAACCTCTCTTAGAGGTTATGACTAGTGATGTTTAGTCCTTTAGTTGGTGGAAATATAAAAGGATTTGTACGAATTAAGTAGTATGGCGTAAACTATCGTACGTAACTCGTCCAAAATGTGTGTACCGGACTCGTATGGTAATCCCGTACTCGACTTCGTCTCGCACGGGAACGACCACACTCGTCCGGTAAACACTTATTTTCAGGACTAGTAACGTAATATACTATTTTATACAATTGTTTAAATATGTTCATTTGTTAAAAATTTCAGACTCTAGGAACAATGTGAGGTCCTAGTACCCATTCTAACGTTTAAATTGTTATATAAATTATTATACAATTTAAAAACTTGTGTTTAAGTACAGTACAGTTTCATAACAGTCATAATAAACAAAATCAGCGTTATGTGCAGATTTAGATCTCCTAAATGTTGTATTTCTTGTACTGTATACAGGGTGAATGAGCTTACCCTAGAAATGCGAAATGAAATTATTACCCCCTAAATTACATACGAAGAATTCATTTAAAATATTTGGAACATGATCCAAGTACAGAGTGTTCCAGAAATGAGGGTCACGGGTTCGAATTTCAAAACTTTCTTATGTCAACCTATATATTACATTGTAGCCTACAAGGTCTTGCTTAGAGCAACATTTTGGTGAAAGCAGAAGCAGAACTTAATTATCTCAATTCGATTCAAAATGGGGGCTATTTTTGTGAATTTTTCTCATATTGACGTAATAACCTGTATTTTCGAAACCGCTTAACATTTTTCCGTTCTGATTGCAAATTTGCAATCATGATAAACACAACATTAAAATCATGTGTCAATTATGTCATGTGTCATATTCAAATCATGTGTCTTATTATAATTTTTTACAAAAAAGTTATTTTTTGTAGGTAATGTTGGTAGCCCTGTAAATAAAATAAACGGTATCAGCATTCTGACACATACTTTCTCCCATAAGTTTGTCAACAACCTTTATCATAAGCGGTAAGAGTAAGCGGTGAGAGTAAATACGGAAATGGAATTTGTACAATTTTCTTCAGAATTTAAAGGACTATAAGATACTAAATTTTTATAAAAAAACGTTCGAGCCAATTTTGGGAAAATGTGATTTTCCGTTATTTTATGGGGTTTTTATGGGAAAATAACATAATTTACAATAACTTTTGAACCGTTTTTTTTATAGAGATGGGATTTGTACCATTTTGTTCAGAATATTAAGGACTATAACATACTAAATTTTTATCAAAATCGTTCGGGCCATTTTTGGGAAAATCTTATTTTTCCGTTATTTTATGGGGTTTTATGGGAAAATACCCATTAAAAATAAAAATTTCTAAAAAATGAAAAAAAACTATCAAAATTGTAAGGACCATAACATACTATGTCAAATAAAAACCGGATTTTTGTCTAAAATCCTATTTTTCGTTATTTTATGGGGTTTTATAGGAAAATAACATAATTTACAATAACTTTTGAACCGTAATTTTTACAGAAATGGGATTTGTACCATTTTGTTCAGAATTTAAAGGGCTACAACATACTAAATTTTTATCAAAATCGTTCCGGCCATTTTTGAGAAAATCCGATTTTCCCTGTTTTTTATGGGCTTTTATGGGAAAACCCCCATTAAAAATCAAAATTTCAAAAAAATGAAAAAAACGCCTGGAGATACCATGGATTAGAACCTACATACCAAATTTCATCGAAATCGGACCACAGGTGTAGTCTCTAGCTCTGTACACATCCAGACACACAGACACACAGACACACACACACACACACACACACACACACACACACAGACATCACTTCGAAAACCACTTTTTTGGGTCCAGGGGGACCCAAAACGAATATATCCACTCAAAACTCAAACTCGAAAATTTTGACGAAAACAATACTTTCTCCATATACTATGGTATAGGGGGAGAAAGTAAAAATCAAATGGCAACATAAAGGGTGAGGCAATGAGAACGCTACAATTTGTTTTACCTGTCACATGTTAATTGTTGCAACAATGAATGATCAGCTGTGTTTAAAACATCAATTAAACTATGCCATTTTAGTAAATATTATGCCTGAGGCTATTAACACTGAGATTTTGATGTGGAAACCTATTTATAAAATAGTGGTTCTTGTGCAAAAACCCAGAGATTGTTTGGACCGCATTCCATCCTTAGTCAACATAGCGCTGTTCCAGATTGGAAAACAATGTTGAACTGGGTAAAATTATTTAGGATAATCGCTTAAACAAAAAAAAAATAATCGGTGGGTGCCGCAAAACTCTTTGTACACCATCAAATGTTAAAAGAATATGAGTCCCTGTAACTCAAAGTCCGAAGAGATTTGCCAGGAAGCTTTTGTTGTTGAAAGCTTTACGTTGGCTAATTTTTTTGGGAGGGGGGGGGTTGTTCTAATAAGCTACTTGACGTTCTAGGTTTTTCAAAGTCACCCCACAGATTTGCTTGAACCGAGGCTAAGGATAGTCCAAAAACTAAAGTGATTCCTGAAGAAGTGCTGGAGGAGTATTTGATGGAGTTTCAAGTGGCTAAAAAAGAATGTCAAGTAGGACAATGAAGTCACTTGTAGGATTTTGTTCTCAAGAAATGGAAAAATGACTTTGTTAAGTTAAAATGGCAAAAGATAAGCTGTGTTTTGGTGTGCTATTTATATCCATAGGGTGAATATTATTGAGTTTGTACTGTTTATAAATTGGGGCGCTTTCATTGCCCCACCCTGTATGTCAAATAGCACACCACTTTAAGCGTCTTGTAAAGATTAATAACTTTCCAAGAGTACTTTCCTGTTAAAGGGAACATTCATTATTATCGATGATTTTTTTTTCGATATATCGATTTTTTCCCTTTACGATACATTACAAATTGACAGCTGATATTTGATATTTGAAGTCTATTATATGGAAAGAAATGAATCTGTTCTAAGCTAACCTAACATAACCAACCAAACTTGCTGTACCATTTAAAAATTCCGTTTCATAACAGAAAAGGCGAGTGGAGAATGTTAAGTTAAATGTAGTTTTTAAATGTTACAGCAAGTTTGATTAGTTTTGTTAGGTTAGTTTAGAACAGTTTTATTTCAATATTTTTTTTTTTAATTTTTTTTTTCGATTCTGAACAATATTTATTTATCGTAGTTGTCAGCTGATATGTTTCAATTTGTTTATATCGATATATCGAGAAAAAAAATCATTGATGTTTCCTTCATGAATGTTCCCTTTAACAGGAAAGTACCCTTTCCAAGTTACACCTACTGTCTATATTTACTTTTAGTATTTGAGTAATAAACCAAAAAGTAAATTTTCCCATATGAAATGCATATTACTTTCAAAAGTCTAAAACTAAAAATATAAAAAAGTAGTATTGTTTGGTAGTGCAATTAATATGTATTTTATCAGAATCAGAACTGAAAAATTTATATTGGTTTCAAAAACACAGGGTATTACGTCAATAAGAAGAAAAATCACAAAAGTTTCCGCCATTTTGAAACGGATTGAGATAATTAAGTTCTGTTTCACCAAAATGTAGCTCTAAGCAAAAAGCAAGGCCTTTCTAAAAATGTACAATGTGGTATAGGTTGACATAAGGAAATTTCAAGATTCGAACCCGTGACCTTCATTTCTGGAACACCCTGGGCTTTGATCATGTTCTTAGTATTTTAAATGGATTCCTCGTATGTAATTTATGGGGGAATAGTTTTGTTTCGCGTTTCTAGGTAAAAACGTACTCCGGTAAAAGTATGTGTAAGGATGGTCTGATTCACCATGTATATTTAATTTACTACCGGTATATATTTTTTTAATATTAAAGGCAATTAAGATGCTGCTTAAAAAGTTCTAAGTACAAACGATTCAGGGATAATCACAGTCTACCAGATAGAGAATCTGTTGTTATCGGAACGTTTAAAAATATGATAGGAGTGTGTTGATTCTGACAGGACATCGACTTAACCAGTGTATTTGAAATCTTCCTTTAAGAAGCAAATTAGCTGCTTTGCAAAACAATAGTACCTCCAAAATAAAGGTAGTTTCCTTTTAAAAGAAAAGACAATTAATTTTGATTGGTAAAGATTTAAACTATGAGAAAAGCATATGAAACAGTTATTTAATATTTAATACAATAAATTTAGCAGATTGTATTAGGTTTAACAAATAAAACACTATCTAATCTTGAACAAGAAGGATAAGGGTTCTGCTTACAGCAATATATCATACTAGTGTACATGTTGCTCGAATTCGAGCAATTGCAAAGTATTACAGGAGTTATTTCAAAACGAATAACATTCATTTACAATGAGTTTAAAAGAGTCAGCTCAAAGATTACTGGTGTGTAACTCAGACCATGTTTATCTTCGTTATTGATAAACCTAAAGCATTCCGGCCGGTTTTCTCCTTCTCAAAATGCCTCGCTGTACAGGCAACACAGGTCATTGATAAAGGGCGAATTGAGAACAAAAAGTCATTTTGGGGTAGTGTTAGGGGGCATTTGTAACCTAATAGTTGAGATTGTCCAGGGTCAGGTGCTGACTGTGATGAGTTAAGTCTACTACGCGCCAGTGTTCTGTAGCTGCGGTCGTTATCACGATTACGCCTCCTGTCTATGTTTCGTTGTCGCTGCGTTGGAGGCATTTATAAGGAAAAACAACAAATAAACAAATTATAGCTACACAAAACAACGATAAATGCACAAATTTAAGTTACAATCATGCTAACACGACCCGTCATAGCGACACAAAACAACGATAAACACACAAATTTAAGATACAACCATACTAACACGATCCGTCATGCTTACACAAACTCAAATAGTAAATAAATGTACTCAATGTGTTTCATTGAATTGAAAAATAAATAACAGCAATTAAATCATCCAGCTGATCAAAATGTTAACAATTATGTTCTTCATAAGTATAACATAGGCACTTTCAAAGCCACTGGGGCAGAGCCCAAGGGACTTTAAAAAATGTAAGGCCAGTTTGCAAATCTACGTGACATGCTCTTTCCAATCAGACGTCAATGGATAAAATCGGTTAAGAAATGGCGGAGGAGTTCAACCGACAAACTTTGTGTTCGCGTCTTAATTATATAGATTGATTAACAATTTTTACAAACTGAGCTGGCTAGCTGAGTTACAGTGTTTGCCTAACAATCAAAAATATCCATCCAGTTAGATTCTAACAAAACACAGCTGTTTTATTTCTTAATATTAAACTAAGCCCAGCTGTTCTCGATAATCAGACTTTTGAAACAAAGCGCTGGCTGAGAAACATCTGGTCTTAGTCAGAAACAAAGCTACAAAGACCACCTCAATCCATTGTACACTCACCCTGCATTCACAACAGCTAGAAATACGTATTTCATAGCTGTCTTCAAGCAATGATAATGATACATGACTATAGCAAAGACCAGTTTAAATTTCAATTGGACAATTGTTTTGGGGTCCACACTGTGAATAATTAAGTTAACTGAGCTTTGAAGAACATTTTTTAAAGATAAACGTCAAGATATCATTCCAAGTTTGAAAATTTGTTTTAAAACATTCAGTTGGCTAGGTCTGCTTGTGCTGGGAACTTAAGGCAAAGAATTTAAATATTATGGATTTTTATATGAACAAACCATTCTACTTAACATTATTTGTACAACAAGTAATGTTATTAATGACATTTGCAAAACAGGGAAAGATCATCCTTCATTGACATTGAGACCCACAAGGATCTTGTACTGTAATCATATCACTACTGTGAATCGAAAATCCAACTTACCTGGATATATCACGATATTTTTGAAACTTGAGCCAAAACATGAACGTAGGTTTGGAGGTACACTCTGAAACAGAAAAACAGGTTTGTGAGAAACCTCTTCAGAAAATTCTGGTTGTTTTTGACATAGTGTGGTTGATCAGATACAAGAGCTTTTTACAAAATGTGCATATACCTGGCACGCCTGGCGGGGTATACACAGTAAATTACTTATTGCATTGTTTGCCGATTGGTACACGATATCTGTGTTTTAGAACTGCTATGTAAACCGGGACAGCTGTTGGATTGTGGTTCCACACTATGGAAATGTTCCATAATAATTGTGTTCCGAACGTGTAAACAACCCTGTATATTTGTGAGGTAAAAGAATAAAACTCATATTGTAAGCACACAAAGTGCAAATGTCCCTAATCTCTTGTCCTCATAGCAATGGTAATATATAATCTTCTACTACATTTATTTATAAATATCGTAAAAAAGAGACTTAACAGAAACACTGAACCCACAGTGCTCAGCTATGCAGACACATACGACTTTGTCAACCAGTTGGTATGAACAGAAGCAGTTTGAGCATCAATTTTAAATTCCTGCCCCAACTGACACGAACTAAGCGATGGCTTTCAAGAACAGGCAATAATCCATACATTAAATCGGTAATCAGCCAATCACAAGAGGATGACAAGGGAGGGATGAGAAAGGTTGAAGTCTAGCATGGTGAGAAAGCAAAGAGGAGAGAAGATCGCTGTCCAAGGCATGAACCAGAAGGGTGAGTGGGTGCGTAAGGGGAATGCCAGTAGGGGGGTGGCGTGGAATTGAATAAAACAAAAACAATCGCGATACTTGGATATCAAATCTTTTGGACCAGACTCAGCCTCATGCGCTTGTGAGATCAACTGCAAGTAAGGTAGTTGTAGAAACATTTGTAGAACAGTCTTTAACAGCCCAAGCGAAAATCAAAGAAGTTATTAGTATTACTGAGTTCAAAAAAATGGAGCAGTTCCATTGAAGAATGTCTGAATGAACTTAAGTTATTGTAGTAGTTTACATGTCTACATGTTGTTTCAAGGCTGAATTACAAGCACTATAATTTATCTTAAATCTTCTTTAAAATGTACCATAAACACAGTTTTCATTGTCTAGAAAGAATTTAATTGTTTAATCTATCCTATATATTAAAACGAAACAGGGTTTTTTATTTCACGATTCTGAATCAACCACTTGACGGATTTTTATGATTTTTGTGTTGAAAGAAAGATAATTTTGAGAACTAGGGAATGTCGAAGCCATAATTTTAGTTTAGGGTTTCAGTTTTTTAGAAATTAAGTTTTAATTTTCAAAAAGTCTAGCAGCCGACGGACGAGTTAAAGTCGTTTTAGTGGTGGTTTAACTAACAGCTGGTTTCTAACTGTCATTGAAATGTTTATGTTACAAGTTGTTTGTATACAAAAATATCGATCGTCAGAGTTTGCCTACATACTATTTTACTTTAAAATGCAGTTTATTTTCTACTGTAAAAGATCTATATGTTATCAGGAGATTGTGTAATTTTGAACTAAACATTTTAAACGTATAATCAAGTTTTGTCATAAATGCAATCCGTCTAGCCTAAGTGTAAGTGCTTAACCCTTTAAGTACTATACGTGCACGATACGTGGTTTACGTGTTGATACATCTTTTTCTAGATATTTGAATATAAGTATGACTGCATACAGTACACATTTTATTCGTAATGAAAATGTCAACCGGTGTAGTAGGTCTCCAGAAAACTGACCAGTAAGCTGCAGGGTGTCAGTAGAAACCAAAATCGATTCATACCATATCATAACTATCCCAGTAGTACTGTATCATTCAGAAAATTAAAAAAAGTGGTACATTCCAAAAGTAGACCAAAAGGCTTTGCATGGCGGAGAGAAGATACTTCAACTTTTAAAAGTGTATTCCAAGGAGTACTACAAGGTAGACGACCATGTGGAAGACCAAGTAATGAAAGACATCTTCAGACTGGTATCTTACTGTCTTCCTGTCATCCAGAAATGGTAGGGATAGAAGAGAACGGGAGGCCAGGATCATTTTAGAGGTTTCAGTGGCCAAGGTGGTAAAATAAGGTACGGTAAGTGATAGTAGGCCTATGCAGTGGAAGGTGGTATGTAGCTACTGTACTCAAAGCCAGTGTGTGTGAATCGGCCACCAAGCTGTAAACTAGCTGTTCTGAATCATATTCAGTTTTAATTGACTACTCGATTCCCGTACGTAGGACGGGCCAACATCTTGTATATATAAAATCCAATGTATGTTTGTATGTTTGTTTGTTTGTTTGTCCTTTATGGACTCCGAAACCGCTCGACAGATTGTAATGAAACTTTCAGGTATTATTAAGCATTATTCAAGGATGGTTTGTGTGAAGTTTGGTGCAGATCCATCAAAAGGGCTCCGCCCCAGTGGCTTTGGAGTTTCCCATGTTAACCTTAGGAGTACTCATATTTAAATGGAATTAAAAAATCTTAACAGTTGGTTCAACAAAAGAATTTGATTCTGTGATGTTCAATAGCATTACAAATTTAATAGGTTTACCAACAGGGTGCAGGACTATTATTTTTTTTAATTTATGACCACAGCCAATTTGCAACTAAAAGGTGAGTGAGCGTAGCGAACGAACTTCAACCTGGAGGTGAGTTAGCGTAGCGAACAAACTTTAACCAAGACGTGATTGAGCCATGCGCACGAGCTCATCTTGAAAATGAACGAGCATTTGACATAAAACCACATTAGGAGAGGACGACGTCTGTCGGACCAGCTAGTACTTAAATATATTTACTGAATTAAATTTCCAGCTTTTTACTTTACCTTTACCGTAAAGTATAAATATAGTGATGGGGAGGGAGCTAGTCTAGTGGTGGAACGTGATCATTGAGTATAGATGTAACGGTACTAGAGTAGACACTCAATGAGGGCTACAGTTACCTCGTCATTGCTGATGCAGAGTAGCATTAGCAGCCCGAACTACGCCACCTCAGGCGTGTCGGTAAGTCAGTTTTGTTGTTTTTTTTTATATTGCATTTATGCATTTATTGTAGGTTGAGAAATGTCTGTCCACTCGACTTATCTACTCAGTGGCGTGGGACTTTGATCCCAGAGGTCCTGGGGGATCAAATCCCACCGATTCACCAATGGGTTTTATCTTAATGATAATGACGCAACCACTACGTCTAGCCTGAAATAATGTGAAAAACAACCCTGGGGTAGTTTGGTGACCTAAGAAATTCTTTTTTATAGTTGGTGATGTTGAAATTGAAATTTGTTAGTGTTTGTATTTAGGTTCAACATTTAGTTAAAGCAACTTAGAAATTTATGTTATTGTGTAGTATAAATATCCAAAATGTGCACATAGATTTATTGCAACACATTTATTGCAAGATAATAAAGGGTACGTTAAAAACTGAAGCCAGAAGAGGATGGCGAGTGGGTAGTGGCTGTGGATTTAGCTAGAACTTTTCTCTATCTATGACTTTTTAATGATTAGATTATTGACTAACAAAATGTTTCTTTTCTCCAGATGTATAGGACATTGATTGTTTAATACAAGTACATTACATATATAGCCATTAACAATAAAACCAGTTTAAACTTGTTTAGTTTAAGTTAATTGAGGCAAATAAATTCTATAATTTGTTTATCGTTATTTATTTATTTATTTATTTTTTTAGAGGTTGGCGGCCTCTTTTAACCTTGCATTTGCCCGTCCACATAGACTAACCCCCCGTGCAAGGAACGTTTACAGCAAAGCAAGGAGTGAGCCGGTACAGTACAAAGGTGAACTGTACTGATAAATTTTAGTGGCAGTGACCAGGATCCGAACCCACGACATCGCTGCCTTGGGCCCGAAGTCCGCGACGCTACCGACTGAGCCACCGACTCACTAACCACTTAATTAATTATTAATTTGTAACTATTTTCAAGTCCAAATAAATGGTGTTGAGTGGTTTGAATATCTGACATTAAGGTTGATACATAATTTTATTTGTCAGTTATCCAACTACAAGATACAAGATACAAGAACTTTATTGTTAGTAAAATACATAATATGGTACATTAGTATCTCCTAACTCGTCAATTAATCCTAAACATAAATATAATTTAACACAATTTTACTTCTTCACCTTATAACATATTTTAACATTCTATAATTAGTAAATTAAATTCATCTTCAGTCACTAGCCAAAATTCATCTATTGTGAACAAACAGAGCTTGATTAAAACTTTCTTCAACTTCTTTTTAAATAAATTAAGAGGGAAATTTTGAAATTGATTTGGTAGAAGTCTTGGAGCATAAAAAATACTTGCCAATGCTTGTCGCCTTATGTCATGCCTACTGATATGGATGTTACTTTTACCTCTAGTGTTATATGAGTGAATTTGTTCATTTGTTGTTTTAAAGATGTTAGCTTTGAAATATATTAAAACTCGGTAAATGATTATGAAAGGAACGGTAAGAATCTCAAGATTTTTGAAAGTTTCCTCACAAGAATCCCCAAAGCTCAGTCCCGCCATACACCTCAAAGCTTTTTGTTGAATGGCTAGAAGTTTATTTATGTTTGTTTTGGTAGTGTATCCCCATATTTCGATACAGTACGTTAAATTGGAATAAAAAAATGAGTAGTAGATTGTTTTCAAAGTTTCAATAGAACATACTTTACCAAATCTTCTTAATATAAAAACTGACCTTGATAATTTTGTACTAAGGTATTTTACATGATCATTCCAGTTCAGTGAACTGTTTACCATGAGACCCAAGAATTTAGTTTGTGGAACAATATCTATGACCTGATCTTCTTCCACAAAAATTTTAGGGTCAAAACTTAACATTCTGGTTGAAAAATTCCAAAAAGCTGTCTTATCTATATTTACTGATAAACGATTTTCATTAAAATATTGGATTATGCCAGTTGTAAATATATTTGTAGAGATTTCCAAAGTATTTAAGTTTGAATGATTCAAAATTTAAAAAGTGTCATCTGCGTATGTTATAGTTTTGCCAGTGTCGTCACTATTTATGTCATTAACATAAAT